CATGAGGGAAGTTCTTGGGTAACCCCCCCCCTCAACCCCCCTTCAAAAAAAGGGGTCTTCTTCTTCCAACCTGATTCCAACCTCCACGCCTCTTTCACGCGGGATTTCCAAGCATGCAATATGCGATACACATTCATTGGGTGACCGGCCGTAGCAGCCTCGAAACTGCTTGAAGGGCCGGAAAGCAAAGAGGGGGGGTGGTGGGTGGGTTATGCGTGCGTGCGTGCGTGCATACATACATACATACACTTCTGGGATGGGGCTTAGGCCAGACCCCTCTATTTGATTTGGAGAGCGAGTTGTTAGATTTGCTGGGATTTCTGTGCTGTGTGTGTCTGTGTGTGTGTGTGTGTGAGTGTGTGTGTGTGTTAGTGTGTGTTTGCTATGCTGATTTTGGTACGATGTGTTTGCTACGCTGATTTTGCTACGCTACGAGACGGAGAGACGTGTAGACCAGACGCCTTCGCTTGGTTTAAGCGAGGGGGGGACTGGTCGGGGCAGGAAGACGGCGAGGCAGGTGGCGGTTCGTGCTTGGTTGGTTGTTCCTTTGTTCTTCTTTTGGTGGGAGCAGGATCGTGGAATGGGCGACGATTGTTGTTTGTTTGTGGGGTATTTGGGGATGGGATGAATGGACGCGGTGGTTTTTTCTTTTTCTTTTTTTTCTTCTTTTTCTTTGGGACCGATTGACAAAGTGCTGTCGAGGTTAGCACAAAGACGGAACAAGACAAAAGCTGGGGGTCGGTGTACAATGGGCCTTGTTTACGCTGTTCCATCAAGGAACATTCTAAACAGGACGAGCAGCAGCAAGTATATATAGCTGTCTCGCTCGAGGTGACTATCCTGCCTCTTGCTAGAACCAAGTATACACATCACCGAAACACCCAAACTTATAGTACCAATCCCCACACCCAAAAAAAAACAGCAACAATAACGTTCGCGGAAAGAAAAATGTCTCCTCCGTCTACCCACTGCATCGGAGAGCTGAGCGCCAAGGATCTCGAACGGTTCACGCAAACCCTCAGCCTCCCCGTCCGCACCCTCCCAAGCCCGGCATGGCTCAAGGACCAACAAGCCTGCATCCCGGACCTTCCGTACCGGCTCCGGAAGCCGCACTCCCTGCTCCCCCGGCTCGCCATGGCCCTGCCCTTCACGGACAAGGCCTGCCTCTGCAAGTCCCACCGCGGGCTGGACCCGCACCTCATCCGCCGCATCTTCCTGCAGGTCTCGGCGGAGTGCACGACACGGCTGAGCCGGCTCGTGGAGAGCCCGCAGCCGCGGCCGATCGCGCTCTTCGTGCGGCGCCTGCAGACGATCAACAGCCTGTGGATGGACCCGGACCTGTACCGGGTCACGTTCGCGTGCATGCCGGACGAGGAGCGCTTCGAGCGCGTCCCGAGCGAGTGCGAGGCGTGCATCCTGGCGAGCGTGGGCGGGAGCCCGTCCATGCTGTTCGATCTCCGCGCGTCGATGCTGGGCCGCAGGAAGAAGGGCAAGCACGAGCCGCGCCTGCTGCGGCTGGTGGACGCGTGGATGGAGTGGACGGCGCAGGGCGACGTCTTGCGGACTGCCAGCGACAGCTTCGCGAAGGATGTCAGGGCGTGCAGGAGACGGATGCAGAAGGCACGACGACAGCAAAAGAGGGGTGGCCAGGCTGGCACTGGAATCGAGACTGAGGATCCGCGAGAGCAGCTGCTGCAGAATGACTTCGTGGCCGCTGCGGCATTTGGGAACGAGGAGGAGGGAGAGGGGGGAGGGGGAGGGGGAGGATGAACACGAGTATGAGTATGCGGAAGAGCATCGTGAGCGGGAGGAGAGCAACGAGGACGACCCGGAGGGATCCATCATCGACTACTACGCGAGCCGCGTGCGGCGAAACACAGGCGGCAGGACCGATGCCCGTGCCATGCATCCGGCTTTCCGAGAGTCCATGTCCTTCCCGCTCTCCCCGGTGTCTGCTCGTGAGTCCCTCCCTCCCAGACCGGGAAACCCCACCGCTTACACAGGCACGGAGCCAAGCATGGCCCGCCACCGAGGCGCCGCGGCTGCTCGTCCTGGTCCTCCGCTGGCCTGGGCGAACAACAACAACAACCATCACCGCAAGCCGCCGCGGCACACCGCCGCCTACTCGGAGAGCGTCTACAGCCGCGCGCCCGATGGATCTGCCGTCGGCTCGGATCTGCATCTGCCTCCGATGCCGCCGCTGGCTAGACGGATGAATAGCTCGGAGGAGCAGGCTGATGCGTATCTAGAGATGTTGGTGCATGATCTGGACGAAGAGGGGGCATACGTGTCTCCAAGGGTGGATTGGGGAAGAGCCCTCCGAGAGCGTGAGGTGATGGATGATGCCCAGGCGGAGGCGGATGACCGGCGCCAGACCACGATGACGGACTTCATCCGTCCCAGGGCTTAAGTACACGCAGGGTGGAAGAAAATGAGGGGAGAGCGGTAAGTTCTCCCTGTCCTACCTTTTTTGCTTTGTTTGAATAGAATATCTTATACTTGCAGTAGTCGTCTATTCCATCCATGCCATGGTATCATCATGCGACTGGCCGTGACCTAACCTGTCTATATGTATGAAAAATGCCAAACTATTGAGTCCGAAGTACTACGAGCTGAATGTGACAAAGTCATTATTTTCCTTAAAAGCATAGAGCTAGATTGAATGGACAGCAGCCGCCTCTTGTGCATTCATTGACTTGCTGTAGTGTTTGAACCGATACGATCACTTCAGGCAAAGCTCGACAGATATATCAGCTGACAGATCGAAGAATAGATACACGCGAAGATAATGATTGCTTGCAGCTAGGGTAAAAGTGGCTACGCAGTAAGGACATTCGACGAAACGAGCTTCCACATCACTTCTTTGAGGTCGGTTAACCACATCTGTGCCTGGTCCTATGCTCCAGCGCCCTCGTAGATCTAAACTACGGCCAGAGGATTGACTGCAAAAATCCGGCAAAGGAGGTCCAATATAAACATCAGTGAAGCGAGATGGATGACATGATGTTATTCATGCTTTGCCTTTGTCGGTTCTCGTAAGAATTTGAAGGGGCGGTTGGTGCTCAGAGCTTAGAAGCGGTGCCAGTCGCCGGCAATACAGAAATATTCAAGAAAGCATCAAGTCTGTGAATCTCTTCAATATCTCGGCCTTGTTGTACCACTCGGTCAATGGCACCATCATCGAACGCAATTCCGTGCCAAAGCAGAACACCCAAGTCTCTGGCGAGCTTTACAGCCTCTAGGACATGGTTGTGACCCAACTCGGGAATGCTCCTCTTGAGCTCGTCCCAGAATACTGTTCTTAAGTACTCGGCGTCTCGGCAAAAGCGAAAGCCCGTAGGTGTCATCTCTCCTAGCATCTCTTCGAGACCGTAAAGACAGATCCCAAATGGAAGCGTCTCAGCTTCAGCCCAGTCCACGAGGCCAGTCAACCGTCCTGATGAGGGATCGACCATGATATTTGCAGCCACAATATCACCGTGCGTGATAACCCACGGGAGTGCTTCAACGTGATGCAAATTCTCGAATACTCTTCGGGCTGTGGGACGGAATCGGCGGGGCAATTTCGCGGCAAGCATTCGCATACGTGCTCGTATGCTTCTCCCTACTGTTCCAAGTGCAGTCTTTGCCAAAGCGTTTCGACTCCAGGATTTGGTCAGAAATGCTGCGAAGTCTCTACACAACCTCGCTCGGTAACGGTTCGAGTCGTCCGGCATGGCCTTACTCGCTCTCATGTGCATCAGCGACACGCCCTTGATTCTCTCCATGCTGTAAACGAGCAACCCCGACTGAAGCGTAGTGATATATTTGGTTTCCGGAGCGCAAGTGCCATAAACTTCTCTTGCCGCCGACGTCATTCGCAGATCAAATCGATACTTGCAAGGACGAAATTGCAGGACAGCATCGTCGCCAAGCATAATTGTCAACGAACAGTAGCCTTGACATGGCGCGGGTGATACGGGCTTGCCTGGGTAGAGCTCTGCGAGCAAGTCGTAGCATTCGGCTTGGTGCTTGGATGTCAGATTGGAGCGGCGGAAGAAGCTATCGACCGACGATTGTAACTCCAGCTGGACCTCATCTGCCATGATGAGCCGTATGCCTTCGCCATGTCAACGTGAGAAGTCTCGAGGACTCTGAAGAGAAGAGGAGGTCGGACGAATGAACGCATCTCCCCCACGCTACCCCTCGTCAGTCGGCGGATAAGCCGCGCAGATAAGGCTTGCGATGCAGCGTTTGGCTCGGATATCTTTCTCCTCCTGCATGCTGCCCGTCGTATTTATACATAGTCGACATTTCCGGCAGGGCGCCCAGACCGCGGAATATCAAGTGCCTGTTGATTCATCCGTCTCCACGACTCGAATCGGCGTCGAGCCCAACTATTTGATTCCACTTTTTTATCATCTACCATTGGCCGTGAAGCGAATGTGGACATCAACATACATACGGGGATCTCCATCTTCACTCTCATCCAGATAACTCACCTAGGAATCATCAGGATATCCGCGCCCGGGCATCAAAACATGGTGGATCGTTATGTTCAGCATTCTTCTGACGGATCTGGGTCTCTTGTACGGAGTTTACGCTGCCGACCCGAATTGCTTCGGGGATATTAGTAGCTGGACGAGTGGTGACTGGACGAACAATAGGATTTTATTCTCGGTTGTTGTGATTAGAGGCGCGTTTCTGTTGGGGGTTTAGAAGGAGAGTAGACGAGAAAAGGAGGAGTATTTGGACCTGTGGTAACTTCGGGATTTCGAGTCTCTGGGTCGGAGTAGTGCAGGAGGCCCTGCTAACGGTCAAGCTCTTTTATGAATCTGGGGTAAGGATCCGACTCGGAGAAAACCCAACACGGCCCGCGAAAGAGCAGATCGACGTACGGGGTCGAGTCCTCAAGTTCGGATACCCACCTCCCTATTTTGGGTAGAAGAGAGACCAAGTTATCGGTATTTATGTTTGGCAGAATGCCGCACAAATCCAGGTCGGCAATCCAGATGTAACATGACATCTTCTAGGTCAGTCACTCTGACCTCTACCCCCCATCGCTGTGTTATCTTTCTTTTCTGGCAGGATGTGCACGCACTCCTCTGACGCTAAACGGGCCACGCCGTTGGGTATTTTGCCAATAACACCTCCCTGTTGACATACTCCCTATACATGTGGATCATCGTGGGCTTCATGGACCTGGATACGCTCTGCCAGTAACAAACAGTACATGGTCTACCATACTACGCTGGGATCTTCGTCGCGTGGCTCTTCCATTTGCATCTCATCTCAAGCGCCGCTACACGAGGTGGTGGGGGAAGTACGCCGCCTACATGGTCTTTGCCGGGCTGAGTATGGGCGTGGCCATGTCGGGCTTGATGGTCACGCTGGTGTTTGGTTCTAGGGCGGAGAGGCACTCGGATTTCGGCGGGTGGCAGGGCGAGGAGGGGGGTTATCAGCTCTATGTTCCCAATGCGAAGTATCTTACCTCTGCCGGAGAGGCGTCTATTGGTTTGGCGCCGGAGCAGTCGCCTCTCCGTTGGGAGGTAGGATTGAAAGCAACGAAAAGTTGGAAATCCGGACATCTGATTTGAGATAGCTGACGAGTTCAGCTGTCTTGTTTACTGTAATACTTTTGCGTCGGGTATTTTTAGGCGAGTTTGATCACCAGACGTACCCCAGACGGACATCATCAGAATCCGTCCGTGTACACGGCCCGCCCCACTCTGGGTCGATAGATGAAACACATTTTCACCTTTTGATGTCCAACCAAAAGTATCTTGAACTCTGGTTTCGATCTATCTTTGGCTGTTACTTATCTCGCCCGTTACCGGTCGTTGTAATCGAGGAGCCATTCTCCTCCAAAAGTGCCCAGGCAACAACCAGGTAGATAGCTTCTCGGAAGTCGTGTCGGTAGAAAGAACACGTCACTACTAGACGGCGATGCCAGCAGGAGTCTCCTGGACAGCGGTTCGCTTGTGGCGATGATATCTTGGGATTGTCCCTCCAATTTGGATCTGCTGTCTCTCTTGTCATCCGCGTTGATGAAAAGTTTATTCTGTTTTCTAGACGAAAATCCAAGCTTCGATTGCCATACCGGTACCATACAGTCAGTCATGGTGGAGACCGCTGCCATCGCTGCCGGTACAGGACTCGACCATGGCAACTGTTTCGAATTTCACGACCGGTACTCGAGATCTGCCCGACGATGTTAAGGAGATTCAGTGGATTCGGAGAATGACAGGCCGGGGGCTCAGAGGAGATAGTAGATGGTGGTGTCTCAACTCGGACCAATCAGCAGGCGGGCCGGCTTGCGACGACGAACTCTATGCCCAACTCATGGCGGCCCAAGGATTTCTCATTTTATCGTTGTAAGGCTGGAAGAATAAGATTAAAACAACACCGCTTACCAGCCTCCATGTTTATTTATTTGCCTTCATCTCTTTCTTTATCTTGGGCCAATTTCTCTTCCTTCTCTTCCTATGGGTAGTTCTGCACAACATCACATCACATCACATTGCGACCTGTTCTCTTTTCTGGTTGACCACATATATATATTATATATATATATATATATGTATATACCGGTATACACATATATATGTGTATGTGTATATTTGAGCATATAGACCAGGATATGGAAAGAGCATGGCCGTACCTTCGCTAAAGCGAGGCTTCCTGCCAAAACCAAAACCAACAGTCGATCTTCCTCTCTTGCTGCACCTGACCTTGGATCAACATTCTGCCAGCAGCCTATAACTGGTTTATTTATTCATTTATCCTTTAGCGAATCGTCGAATTGTACCTATGGAAGACCCGACCTGATCACGAGATCGATCGTTGCATTCTCTTATTGATCTATCTACCTATATATCGTATATAATATCCCGTACAGATTCCGCAGACGGCATCTATCGATCACATTCACGGCTAAGAACACAATGGCGGCTCCTAATACCACAATCAAGCGTTTGGTAATCTGCTGTGATGGCACTGTGAGTTCCCTCGAGATGAGATTCCTCGGCCTATTGCTTCCCTATGTCAAAACCTCCAACTCCCTTTCCACAGTCCATACAGACCAAAATATGCTGACTTGCTTTGCTCTTAGTGGATGGACAGGTACGTGAAAAAACCCGCTTATTGACAGCCGCTATTTTATCAATGGCCTCTTACGAGATCCCAAGGAATCTCCCACCAAAATTTCACGGGATTTGAGCCACTTCGGAGCAAGTTCCCCAAGACTGACTGACTTGTACAGTGATGATGGCATTCGAAAGCCAACCTTAATCCCCTACAAACCCACTGCATCCGTCCAAATCCCTTCGAATGTCACCAGGATCAGCCGCGCTCTCAGGAAGCACGGCCTTGATGGCGTTCCTCAGATCATCTACTACCATTCCGGAGTGGGTACGTCGTCCACCAAGGTTGACATGATCACGGGTGGCCTGCTGGGTGTTGGTATCTCCGAGGTCAGCATTCCAGACTTGTACGAAATGAAACACTAGATCACAGTGCTGATATGAGATAGAACATCCGTGAAGTTTACAGCTTCATCGCAGCCAACTACACGCCTGGAGATGAGATCGTTCTCATTGGCTTTTCTCGAGGAGCTTTCACTGTTCGATGCGTGGCCAGCATGATCAGCGTCATCGGTCTTCTGACCCGCGAGGGCATGGAGAACTTCTATCCCATCTTCAAAGACTACCAAAACTTCAAGAATGATAAGTATCATGACTTCTTCCCCGACATACCGTTCTCGGAAAAGCCGAAGGGGCCCGATGCTGCTCAGCTTTACAGGCAGAGACTTGAAAAGGTTCGTTCCTCGCCCCCGAAAACTGATCCCAGTCTGACTGTTCAGAACGGCTTCACGAGACATTACGATCCTGATGGCAGCAAGATCAAAACACATGCTGTTGCCGTGTGGGATACCGTGGGCGCTCTCGGCATCCCTAACATCTCTCTGCTCGCCAAGCTTGGACTGCCCCATTGTACCATAGAATACAAGTTCTTCGACACCAACCTATCCGGTAACATCAGGCATGCTTTTCAGGCACTGGCCTTAGATGAACGAAGAGCTCCTTTGAAGGCGGCAGTTTGGGAGAGAGAAGATCGTCATCAAACAACAGTCGATCTGCGCCAGGTCTGGTTTCCAGGAGCGCACAGCAATGTTGGAGGCGGATACGACGACCAAGAGATTGCCAACATCAGTCTGGCTTGGATGATGGATCAACTGGCATCGATCAACGTCTCATTTCAGGACGAGTACATTGACAAGATATTCATCCAGAACGTTCGATATTACGAGGATCACCCACAGCAACAATCAAAACTCGGCAGTCTGAGATATCGCGAGCGCCAATGGGCCCGCGATGACATCTACGAGAAGCATAAGCCCGTTCGCCCTTGGGGACTCGGCAAGATATGGGACTCCAAAACTAGTCTCTGGACACTCGCAGGCACCGGATTGCGGACACCTGGCCTCAATATGCGGGCAGACCCCGAGACGGGTGTGCTCACGAGAATCCCCATGCAAGATACCAACGAGCGTATCCACAGCTCTGTCCGGATCCGCCTTGATCTCGATGGGCTGGGACTAGATGATAAAGGACTGTACAAACCTCATGCTTTGGACAAGAAATGGCGGCCTCGTCAGGTTGCCCTTGACGTCCGTGATCCGATTCCTTGGGACGCGACTTGGGGTCCTGGCACTCCTCGTCCAGAGGTAAGAAATCGGCTCTTCCGTTGAGATCGCTTTCTAATGGCACACAGGGATCCGGTCCGAATCAGGTACGCTGGGTATGGGAGTACGTTGGACCAGAAGATGAAGCTCCCGTAGAGCGATACATGGTTGAAGAGACTCTAGGTCCATACGAGCGAAAGCTTCTTTTGCTGAACAAAGGTAAGGCGTGCTGACCTTGTCACTGGAGATGATCCTGTCATCACGGTGGTTGCGAACCCCGCGTTAGCACGGTGATCATCCGTGGCAATCGTGTTAGCGATCTGGCGCGCGTTTCTTCTACGTATGTTGCTGTATGCGATAGAGAAATCCTGGCCTGTAGATTGATATTGTAGCTCTTCATCAAGAAACAATATGGCTCGATCTCTCATGTCCCTGCTTCTGCGTCGACTAAGGACTGTCCCTCCTCATACACCCGCTCACTCTCACAACCCTCAAGCCCACCCGCTAACCAATGTGTCGCAACCAGGGAGGAAATACTACAAGCGCTTCCGCAGGAGGAGACGCAGAAGTCGTCGCACAGACGACTCGTACGGCCACAGCCAGTTCACCATCGACGGCGATCAGTCCGACGAGAGGTTTCGAAGGAGACACAGCACCGTGCCGTCCTCCGGCTTGCAGAGCAGCACCGGAAGGACCGACGTCCGCAGCAGCCAGGTGCGAAGCGACGGCAGAGGGCACCTGGATCGAGACAGGAGGAGGTACTCCCTACCCGTCGCCGCCAGCCTCGGATCGGAGGACGACCTGATCGAGACGCGCGCGCGGAATGTCCGACCGCGAGCGAGGGAGAGGAGGGGCACGACTGCGGAGAAGACGCGGCCTAGACGGGTGGCGGCGTCCGAGAGCGAGGAGAGCTTGATGGACGAGCGGGAGGTGAGGAGGGTGCTGCTGCTGCGGGAGCGGGCTGCGAATTTCCCGGGTGGCCCGCCGTCGCCGCCGTCGCCGCCGCCGCCCCCGCCCCCGCGCTCGAGGTATCGAGACGTGCCGCCCGATTTTCCCGAGGCGTATCTGACGCAGCGGAGGGTGAGTCGGGCAGTGTCGAGGGCACCGGGTAGGGCTGTGAGTCGGGGAGGGAGAGGGGAGAGGGGGAGGGAGAGCTATGATGGGGATGATGATGAGGTTGTGATCATGGAGAAGATGAGACGAAGTCGGGCGCCTAGTCGAGCACCGAGCCGAGCACCGAGTCCACCGAGTCGAGCACGAGCACGAGCGCCGAGCCGAGTTGCAAGTCGAGTTGGGCGAGGAGGGCTAGAGGTCACGTCTTCTTCTTCTTCTGACGACGACGACGACGAAGACGACGACGACGACCACGACGAGATTGTTGTCACGGAGGAGAAGTCTGATATTGGGAGTCGGAGGGCTGGAAGGCGGGCACCGAGCAGGATGAGGGGCGATGGAGACGGGAGGAGAAGCTTCGTGGATGCGAGGCGATAGGTAACTAATCTTTCTTTGGGCTTTCCTGGGACGGATGTATAATGTGGAGGGCTCCGGGTCACTGGATCAGGGGATTTGTACGATACTGGAGAGCTGCTGCATGTGGGTTGGGTGGTAGGTGCTGTTTCTGGATTGGGTAACGGCGGCACAGCGTTGGTGTTTGTGTGATTGTTTACATCGGCTCGCTAGATATCTCATTTGTCCGTTGGCGAGGAAATTTGTATCCTGGGGACCTTCGTCACATTGCTGTCAGTCTCGACTAATGTATACTACTAATATTGAAAAGGGGAGGGGGCAGGGGGAGAAGATGTTGTAGAAACAAATGCTTGTATTAGATCTAAAGGGCTGTTATAAAGAATGAGATGCTAGGAAGATAGTTGCTTGCGTCGGGCCTAAGAGATTATTATTAAGATATTGAAATGCTAGGAAGATAGCTGCTTGCGTTACACTTGAAGAGGCTACTATTAAAAATAATATGCTAAAAAGACAGCTGCTTATATTACACTTGAGGAAGCTACTATTTAAGAATGAAATGCTAAAGAGACAGCTGCTTGCATTACACTTGAAAAGGCTACTATTAAGAATGAAGTGCTAGAAATCCGGCCGCTTGCATCGGACTTATTCTTGCCCCGTGCTTTTCGGTCACTATCGGTATTGAAATCGGGGCTTTTCGCTGCAAAACATTTGCTAGGAAAAGCTTCATCATTAACATTCTTCAACAACGCAAAGAGCCACGATAATGAGAAATCAATATTATAAGCCCTCATCATCGATCCTGTATAGTTTTTATTTTTTGTTCAATTTGAACTATCAAGCCTCGTAAAAAAAAAACCAATCAATTACAACTTTTCGTCGCCAAGTTTTGATGTTCTTACCTCGCGCTCCGTTTTCAATCTACTTTAAATCTACCTAACTAATCGCCTTGCGAGTTTAGCTTTAAGCTAGCCAATCAAGAGGATTTAAAACGCGAATGTATGAAGAGTTGTTTACTTTCGATGAAGCAGCGTTACCGCTTTCTTTAACAAGATAGCCAATTACCGGTAGATGAGCGTAAATGAGCGAATTCATTAAAGCAGCGATGGGTGGTCCGGACAAAAAGTTCACTAACAGCTTCTTGTTCAGCCGCGCTGGACTACTTCTAATCGGAGATTGATAGCATGATTCAGATAGGATATCACTTACCACGGTACAGGCCTAAGTATTACCCCTCGAGGGTGCCTTGAAAGTTTAGTTTCCACTTTAAACCCCCTGTTTTCCCTACCCTCGAGGGGTAATACTTACGCCTGCGACGTAGTATATAGAAAAGAGGCATCGAAATTGTAACTTCCAACTCAGCCAAGCCTTCTCGAGATAAGCAAGTGCGGTCTCGTCTTGGCGAGGCATTTTCTTAGAACCATTTTCACTTCACATCACAAAGCGTCTCATTTCCTCTTCTCTACAAGGCGACCACACAGGTCCGTATCCTACTTCCATATAATAGCTTTAATTTCTCGCCAGACGGCTCTATTAGGTATAGAGTTAGATCTACTTGTCCCGAGCGATCGAGTGAAAAAGAGACACTATGTCGACCGCCACATCCTTCCTCCCTTACCACGAGCCCGGCATCGTAACAATCCTCATCCAATCCTCCCTCCTCCTCATCCTCAATATCATCAACACGCTCTTCGACAAGCTTATATTCTGCGGCCTGCTCGGCCAGGTATTCATCGGCGTCGCATGGGGCACCCCCGGCGCGGCATGGCTCGATGTCGAGACGGAGCACGTGATCGTGCAACTCGGATACCTAGGTTTGATCCTGCTCGTCTACGAAGGTACGTACGAAGCCCCATCTCCATCTCCGCGCATCCATGGATAAACATGTCAGTGTGCTCAGCTGTGGTGTACAGGTGGTCTGGAGACGGATTTCCGCTCCGTGAAATCGAACCTGCTCCTGTCGGTTGCAGTAGCCGCGACAGGCATCGGCTTCCCGATGGCCCTCTCCTTCTTTCTGCGATCCCTTGTCGACGCTACCTCTCTGCAGGCTTTTGCGGCTGGCGCAGCACTGAGTGCTACAAGTCTAGGAACGACTTTTACGATCCTGGGCACGAGCGGACTTTCTAGCACTAGACTTGGCACTGTGCTGAGTAGCGCGGCTATGATCGACGATGTCGTTGGGCTGATCATGGTGCAGGTAATTTCTAATCTGGGACAGTCGGCGGGCCCGTTTGAAGCTGTTACTGTTGTCAGGCCGCTCGCTGTGAGTTTGGGAATGGCAATTGCTGTGCCGCTTGCTTGTCGCTTTGTGGCTTTGCCTGTCACGTTGCTGCTCAACGGGATGAGGAAGTCGAGACCGCACGGTGTGGTGAACAGGATCTGTCAGGGGACGTATACGGCTTTTGTCACGCACACGCTTATTCTGCTGGGACTCGTTACTGGGACGTCGTATGCTGGGACTTCGGTTCTTTTCGCGGCGTATCTTGCTGGTGCGTCAATCAGCTGGTGGGATAGTGAGGTACCGCATTTAGCTGTGGCCAGTCCTCCATCGCGAGAGGACCTGTTCGCAGAAAATCATTCATCGGGCTCTCCGGAAGAGAGGGAGGACGAGCAATCTGCTCGAGAAGCAACGAGTGAAACATCATCCTTCGGTGGAGATCGAGAGGTCGATGCTTCGACTGGTAAAGCTATCTATCACAAATACTACGCCATCGCAGTTCAGCGGATATTGAAACCATTTTTCTTCGTAAGTCTGTCCCGTTGTAAGAACAAAAAGCTTCTCCTAATAGGTTACAGGCATCTATCGGCTTCGCCATCCCCGTGACAGACATGTTTACGGGACCGGTGGTCTGGCGAGGTGTCGCCTACACCACCCTCATGCTCTTAGGTAAACTAGTCACCGGCGTATGGCTCGTCCGAATCGATATATCATGGCCGAAAGTCCGCATCCCGTCATCAACTTTGCGTTCTGTCCTCGCCCGTTCTGCCTCCTGCCTTGGCTGGCCAAGTGGGAATTCCACAAAGAAGAACGATACGACTAAACCACAGGCCCAAAACGACTCTCGGGCCCAAGAGCACGCTTCAAATGATGAAGTGGATGCGACAACGTCTCAATCCCCGCCTACTACCGATCCCCTTACCTCGGACCCTTCTTCTCCCCCCTCCTCGTCTTCAAACAACAAAAACATCACGCATACCACGCACACCTTACCCAGCGCCCCTCCTCCACCCTCAAACTCCCCCCAGATCCCCAAACCGCTCTCCCTCTACCCCGCCGCCATGCTAGGCACAGCCATGACCGCCCGCGGCGAAATCGGCTTCCTCATCGCCTCTTTAGCCGAAACGACGGGCCTCTTCGCCGCGTCGTCTGGCCACGAAAATGCCAGGGCCGGCAGCTCGGAGATCTATCTCGTGGTCACGTGGGCGATTGTGCTGTGTACAATCATCGGGCCGCTCGGCATCGGGACGCTGGTCAAGAGAGTGAAGAGGTTGCAGTGGGAGAGGAAGGAGAAGGGCGTGGGTGTGGATCCGTTGGGGATTTGGGGGGTTTCTTAGTTAGTTGGTTGGTTGGTTTGTTGGAGCTTAGGTTGATGGGTGGTTATGATTTGTTTGACTGCTACAAAGCTGTCCTGATGACAGGCGAGGTGATGTGAAGTACAGGGCTGCCGGCTGGCCGGCTGGCTGGTTGGTTTTTCTGCGATAAACAAGTAAACAATCCGTGGCAGTGTAACTCCAAGGCTGGATTAGATTACATAATGAGCGAAGGTGGACGAACGTTCAGCTGTATGGACCATCTCCCCCCCTTCCCTCCCTTCTGTTCCTTCCCCCCTTGCTTCCCTTCCGCTCTTTCCCAAAGTAAACAAGAGTTGCGACGTGCAACAAAAAAGTTGAATGTTCAATTTCCCTAATCCGTCCCCCTCCCTCCCCTCTGTTCCTTCCCAAAGAAAATAAAAGTAAACAAAAGCTGCGACGTGCAACAAAAAATCCCTTTTTTTTTTGGGCAAGCGTAGGTGAATGTTCAACCGAATGGACCATCTTCCTTCCCTAACTTCCCGGTTCTTTCGCCCCTTCCGCAAGTAAACAAGACATGCGACGTGCAACAAAACATTCTCTATAACGAGTTAGCGACCACC